ATTATTAATTGAAAAAATTCTTAAACATACAATATTAAATCATCCTGGTTATCGATATATACAACAAGCATATGAATGTGCACGTCAATTAAATGAACGAATAAATAAACAGATATGTGAACAAGAAAATAATTTACGTTTAGATTGGTTACAACAACATGTTATATTAAATACAGATGAAAATTCTACAGATAGATATGTATTTGATGAATTAATAAAATTTAATTCAATAACTAAATTTCATAAACAACGACAATTACTTTTACATGGTTTTCTAATGAAGGTTAGAAAGAGAACAATCAAAATCTATTATCTATTTTAAATGTTATGGGTGTTTGTTGTATCACAAATAATTCAAGCATAAAGTTATTAGTAGTCAATTAACAATGACCATTTTCGAAGTGATACCATAGAAATTTTTTTTATTATACGTTTACTTTTAAGATAGTCATTTGATAGCAAAAATCAAGGCTTCTTCGAATGATTCTGCTACTAAGTTATAAGCATTCAGAAAAGGTCTTCGAAATCGGCCAATTGATCACTAGTACTTTGGAAATGAATTAGTATTGAAGATTTTGGCATGTTTATTTTCTTTTTCAAAACAATATGAAAAAAAGTTGGACTAAAATTTCAAAAGCATCAATTTTAATTATGTATTACGCGAAAATAATATATAGTGTCACTTAAAAAAAGAAAATAAACACCACTCCTTGTTTCAATATGGTCAAAATATTCGATATCAACTCATTTCAAATTGACAAATAGTTCATTGATCGATTTCGAAGTTCTCATAGAAGAATGTTTATAACTTAGCAATGGAATCATGTAGAGAGGCGTTGACTTTCTCTATCAAATTATGATCTTAAAAGTTAATATGTAATAAGAAACTTTCGAATAGTATTGCTTCCAAAATAGTTCCTGAAAACTAACCATACAATAGAGTCCATTAACTTTTTGAATAGGTAACAGTCTAATTTTAAAGTCTTGATTCTTCTTGTTTAGGTACCAAGTGGAAAAAAATTATTAGCATTTTTATTTAATCATTTTCTTTTATTTTCAACTATAAAAATTATTTGAGTTGAAATCAAATCTACAATTAAAACTTTATCGATTAGTAAATTCATTGATTAAAATTTTTATTTTAGTCAATTTGTTCTTTATTTTTTAGCTATTATTGTTGCTAATGAAATACCTAATGATCAATTAAGTTTTTCTATTATAATGAAAATGAATGAAAAACCATTGATTTTAAAATCTCAACACACTAACATTCAATATGATAGCAAAAGCAAAGCATAAAACATTTGAATTACGAGATCATTCATTTTATGCTTTCTCTTTTTTTGTAGTATATTATGGGTACGAGCGATTAATAATGCTCTAGAAGAATATCAAGTAACAGAAAAATTAATTTTAACCGATAAATCATTGCTTACTGTCACAAGTAACGCTTGTTTTATAATTTATAAATGATTCAAATGTACATTTTAACTATCATTTTCTTTTAATTTTGAAGATCATGAACATGATTCACAAGCTGCTGTTGCACATTTTGTTCTCGTTATATTAGAAGCTCGTGATTTAAAATCACCCACGATAACAGTTGAACGACACCGTAAGTATTGTTTCTAGTCATAAAAAAAAAACTAGTACTTAATTGCTATATTTTTGAATATTATTTTTTTGCCTTTAGGTTCTTTAAATCCCTATTGTGAAATAACTGTCGGTTCATTAACATTAAAAACTTCATTTATGAAAAGAACAAATAATCCAAAATGGAATACATCTATACAATTCTCTCTATATGATTTTGCTAAAGATATTATACATATTAATATATTTGATAATGAATTTTTTTCACCGAATGGTTTGTTCGAAACATTTTTCTTTCTTGTTCATCAAGAGAAAAATCTGTTTCTTCTTCTTTCTTTTAGAAAATATTGGTTATACATCAATACATCTCATAGATATCTTACCATGTTCACTTGAAATATTTCTTACTCAACCATCACAACCACTTACACAAACAATTTATCTAAACAATGAAGCATCGGTAATCATGAAATGTACTATACAATTTTTATTATAATATA